AATACCAAGCCACACTTTTCAGCTACAGAAAAAGCAGCAAGCCTTGCAACCAGGAAGATGCCATCTTACTATCCAAACATAACACAGAAACACTACATATTTTCTTCTCTACCATCCCCAAATTAATACAAGTTTCATTTTAGAACTTTTGTTCAAATCTATTGAGACTCGGTATCTTACTGCCACACACGTTTATAATGTCTTGGGCATTGGCTTGGAAAGGTAATCCTCTCATGTGGACAAAATGCAGAGAAGACGTAGTTCCAAAATCAGCAGCCTCTGGAAGCTTTTCTGGCACCTCCTTAGGCAATTCTGAGAGGTGGAACAGAAAGCACTGTTAAAACATAACAGCTTCAAGGGTTATTAACAGATTCTAATTAGGTATGACTTCTATGTCCAAATCCTCAATTCCTCTTAAGAGCTTTAAAAGCCAAAATGATCTGAAATTTCTGCCACTTAACAAATATCACCTGAACACCCATAAGCACTGAATGCCTCAGACCACTACCAGTTTAAGAACTTACCCCTTTCTGCAACAACAGAGAGCAGATAAAATGATTATGAATTAAACCCTAAAAGAGACTTTCTAGATTATAGGTACTAAAAAGAAAAAAAAGGAACAAAGGCTGGGCATGGTAGCTCACACTTGTAATCCCAACACCATGAAAGGCTGAAGTAGGAGAATCACTTCAGCCCAGGAGTTCGAGACCAGCCTGGGCAACACAGTGAGACACTGTCTCTACAAAACAAAAAGACGCCGGGTGCGGTGGCTCACGCCTGTATTCCCAGCACTTTGGGAGGCTGAGGCAGGTGGATTACAAAGTCAGGAGATCGAGACCATCCTGGCTAACACAGTGAAACTGCGTCTCTACTAAAAATGCCAAAAATTAGCCAGGTGTGGTGGGGGGCACCTGTAGTCCCACCTACTTAGGAGGCTGAGGCAGGAGAATGGCATGAACCCGGGAGGCAGAGCCTGCAGTGAGCCGAGATCCGGCCACTGCACTCCAGCCTGGGCGACAGAGCAAGACTCCATCTCAAAAATAAATAAATAAATAAAGAAAGAAAGAAAGAAAAAGAAAAATAACTTAGCTGGACATGGTGATGCATGTCTATAGTTCCAGCTACTCAGGAGGCTGGGGTGGAAGAACTGCCTGAGCCCAGGAGTTCAAGGTTGCAGTGAGCCATGATTGTGCCACTGCACTCCAGAATGGGCCACAGAACAAGACCTTGTCTCAAAAAACTATATATATACATACACACACACACACATATATATATAGTGACAAGATAATCCCAAGGTACCAGTTTAAAAAGTATTTATCAAACTTAAAAGATTCCAAATGTTGCTCTGAGTTAGGAATCAAAGAAATAATTAAATCCAGAAGCAAACAAAAATCCTTACTTCTGGTGGGCACAGTGGCTCATGCCTGTAATCCCAGCACTTTGGGAGGCAGAGGTGGGCGGATCCCCTGAGGTCAGTAGTTCAACACCAGCCTGGCCAACATGGGGAAACCCTGTCTCTACTAAAAATATAAAACCTAGCCGGCCACAGTGGCAGGCACCTGTACTCCCAGCTACTTGGGAGGCCGAGGCAGGAAAATGGAGTGAACCCAGGAGGCGGAGCTCGCAGTGAGCAGAGATCTCCCCACTGCACTCCAGCCTGGGCGACAGAGCAAGACTCTGTCTCAAAAAAAAAAAAAAAATCCTTACTTCAGTCAATATTCCTGCTCATTACCCAAATCTTCCCCCATCTTAATTTAAATATTGACATTTTACTTCCTTTTATCACATTTTTACTACCCAGCTTTTGATATAGTTAATAAAAATGATTAAATTAAAAACCTAGCAAAATAATTAAGTCTTTCTGCATATACTCAAAGCATGTACTATACTCAAAGACCTATTAAATCTTTAGGCCTGGTATGTTGGCTCACACCTGTAATTCCAGCACTTTAGGAGGCTGAAGCAGGTGGATCACTCGAGGTCAAGAGTTCCAGACCAGCCTGGCCAACATGGCGAAACCTT